TTGGGTTTCCGAGGTGGTAACACTACAGAAGTAGATTGTCCAACCTTCCTTCCGAGGAGTGGCTGATGGGTTTGAACCACCAGCCTTCTGGTTAGCAGTCAAGTGCCTTAGGCACTATGCTACCAGAGCTCCTAGTATAAGCACAGGCCCTCTCATAAGACATCTTTCCAGATTGTCTTCATTAGATTAATATACATGGAGAACTTAACTTTTCAATATTTGGATGTCTGAGGAAAAGAAGCACAAATTACTATCAATAGTAAAGATTTTTTAATAACTGATGAACAGGTCTCTATCTACGCTTATAAATACACTATATAGTGAATCCAGGATACAAGTACATGTTAGGAATAAAAGTGAGAGTTAACCAAACCAAAAAAACCAAACTCACTGCCATCGAGTCAGATCCTCCTTGGGTTTCTGAGGCAGTACCACTACCAAAGCCCAATCTTCCTTCCAAGGAGTGGCTGGTGGGTTTGAACAGCCAGCCTTCTGGTTAGCAGTCAAATGCCTTAGGCACTATGCCACCAGAGCTCCTGAGCATTACCTGAGATCCTGCAAACACTTACTTCTAGAAATGGGGGGATTTATTCTAAACTGGCCGATGGTTAAAAACAAAAACAAACAAACCCACCCATTACCATCAGCTATGCAGTGCAAGACACTAGAAAGCTAAAAATTAAATTTTCCTACCAACTCTTCTCTTAACCAACTTTTTTGGAGAGAAGAAGATTATACAATTTTTTTTTTAACAAATATTTTGCATTTTTAATTCTTAGAGAAATAACTATTAAGCACCTGGTATTTCAGTGGTCCATTACAAGGACTATGGCAGAAGAACAGGAAAAACTACAATGCTTAGATTTCCCTAGAGAAAAGTAAAATTACTCTCACAGAGGCAAGAGTAGCAAATGCCACTTGAAATTAGGCTTTTTAGCCACAGCTCATGTTTCTGAATTTTTCCATTTTGTTTCTTTAAAGTTGGAGTGTTGCTCATTTGATGGACTTCTTAGAGAAGATAGTTAAGCACAAACTATGTTCCTAATATTGATTCAGGTACTGATGATACAAAGAAGTAGCCCTCAAAGAAAAGTAACTCGGTTTAGAGACAAAACTTATATTAAATTAATACAAGGAAACTTTTAGAGGAAAGCTGGGTTAAGCTGAGATTTTAAGACTGAATGACATTTGAATTGAAAACATAAGTAAAGCATCACAAATAATTTTCAGTGGGGGCTGAAAAGTGTGATTAATTTTCATAAGACAACTATCTGGCTAAAGTGAATCTTTGAGTGTTGGGACCAGTGAGAAAACAGATTTGGTGACTGCCAGATGGCGCAAGCAGTCTGTGATTGGCTGCTAACCTAAAGGTTAGTGGTTTCAACCCACTCAGAGGCTTCACGGAAAAAAGACCTGGCAAACTGCTTCTGTACACAGCCAAGCCTTACGTGCAGTACTACATTGTAACACATGGGGTCAGTAAAACATTTTTCCTTAGACCTCAGAGCATACTGTTTATCTGTCATAAAACTTTGTAACTATATATATGTCTGCCTGTCTGGCTTTGACAACAAGACTTATAAAAGATGGGGGGACTCTGTTGTATTCCAATTACTTAGTATTTTACAGTTTCTAATAATATTTAAATAAATAAATAACTATGCACTGCATGGCAGATGCATAGCAACCCCCACTGGGTTTTAGAGGCAGTAAATATTTATGGAACTATATTGCCCAGTCTTGCTTTTGTGGAGTGGCTGGTGGGTTTGAACCACCAGCCTTCTAGTTAGCAGTTAGATGCCTTAGTCACTGTGTTACCAGAGCTCCTTACTTAATAAGATAGCAAGAAAAAACAGAAATTAAATATTGTTTGGATAACTGAATAAATGAATACATGAGAGGTATAATAGATTTGTATTATAGAAGACTTTGAAAAGTCAGAGAAAATTCTGAAATTCTGTGGGTATCCTAAACCCCTTGTAAGTCCTGTGCAAGAAATAAAACGAATTTTTAAGTAAAAAAGCATCCTGAGAAAACATATGTATGCCCTAATAGAGTAGATAGAGACAAGGAAATCTTTTCAATCCAGATGGCAGTAAGGTGATTTAGGTGGTTGGCTAGGGTAGCATCAGAGGGAATTGACAGTAAGATGGATATTTCAAACAAAAAACAATGCTTGGCGACAAATTGGATTTAGAAATTTAATAAACAGTAAAATAAAAATATTTAACAGTAAAATAAAGCTCCAATATTTTTAGTCACAGAGTCTGAAAAGTAAGCTGAGAAGAGGACTGTTCATTATCTGTTTGCTTATCTATCTGGGTTTTTTGTTGTTGTGGTTTGTTTATTTGAAGGTAGAGGAAGAGGTAAAAACATTTGCTTTGGAGGAAAACATCAGCATAATAAGGTCTTCATATATGTACAGCTAGCTGAAAAGTAATTGGTAATTTCAGATTCTGAAGTAGGTGAAACAAAGAGCATTAGAAATAGGACAGTTTGTGATAATAACCAAATGGCAAACCCACAATTTCCTTTTCCTTCAAAGGCCTATTATAGAGCCTATAAATAAAATATTGATTTACTCACTCAGTTATTTCCATTTAAGTATATCACACCAATAATAGAAAGTTTATGACAAATATTTTGCTACCTTTATGTAGTAAAATGAAAATACAAAATTAATTTTGAATTCTTTAATAATTTATTGTAATAACCTGACCTCAAATATATTATTCTACCTGAGTTTTATGTAAATATGAGTCAGAAAAAAATGACGGGAATATTTTGCTGCCTAAAACAAATGACTCTTCCTTACTTATAGAAACACTTTCAATTTATAAAGCATTTTGTTGAAGTTTCTTGACAAACCTTATATCCATCACATAATCTTATTTGATATTTACATTAACTCTCCAAGGAACATAGGTTCATTGTTATTATCTCCATTTCACATATAAGAAAACTAAGGTCTAAACCTTGGAAAGCAATAGCATTCAAAACTTTTTTGGCAGTAACTCAAAAGTGAGAAATATATACTACATCATGACTGCGGTATAGTAAATTACTTAGTGTGGCTTTTCTAGCCATAAGTCTGTAAACTCTGTGGTGGAATTTGCTGTAAGCAATTCAGGAACTTCTGATTGTAAAAGTTATCCACCTGGGGTATTTCAGTTGGGTGCAACACAAACCAAAGAGAGGTTCCTGCTCTCTCTCGGGTGCTTAGAATTCTGATGTTATGATTGGTTAGTTTGGCCACTCTGCCAGGCTCAAAAGGAGGCCTCCAAGAGGCAGAAGAAGTCGCTCTCTGAATGCTGGCTGAGGAAGGATGTGCCCCCTGAGAGACATGCGCTGCGGGAGAGACGCAAGAGACATGCATTGCTGAGAGAGACACCAAGGGACACACACTGCTGGGAGAGAGACTATAAGAGACAGAGGGCTGGGAGAGAGACTAAGCATTTTTCCTGAACTTGAATTGTAGCCTAGTGCTTCCGTAATAAACCCCATAATCTGTGAGTTCTGTGTGGCCACTGAAGTGAATTATCGAACCCAGGAGAGAGGTGGTA